CGGTCGTTCACATCCCTCCGACTCTCTATTTAACAATGAAATGAAGGCCTGGCAAGGTCCCGCAATCTTAATATTTAATAATCAAAAATTTGAGGAATCTGATTTTGAATCGCTAATGCAGTTACGCGTTGGTGGAAAACAAGACGATAACACAAAGATTGGGAAGCATGGATTAGGTTTCAATACGTGTTTTCATTTTACCGATGTTCCGAGTTTCATTAGCGGAGATTCTATTGCCTTTTTGGATCCTCAAGAGAAATTCTTGAGAAAACGTGGGATAATTGGCCCTTTTCCAACAAATGGCATTGAGGGGCTTTCTGAAAAGGACCAGTTGGTCCCTTTTGAGGGCATCGAGGGCATCAATTTTCGTTCGACTTTTGAGGGGACACTCTTTCGAATCCCACTTCGAAGGGAAGCAAGTGAATTATCCGACAGAACTTTCTCGATAGTTGAGATCCTTGAATTGTTCTCCAATCTTAAATCAACCATCCCCTCCCAATTATTGTTTCTTCGAAATATCGAAACAATTGAAATTTCTCAAATATCTGAAACTACGGTTCCGCTTCAAATAAAACCTCTATGTAAAGTGACCATGGAGGAATTGGATGAAACCGTAAAAAATAAGAGAAGATGTGAACATGTTATCAACGGCGAATTTCCTGTTTTTCAGATAAAAACAAAAATGATTGATTATGAGAATTTAAACAACATAAAATACAATAGTTGGATTATCGCTATTGGTGCTCAACAAGATCCTGAAGACTCTCAATTACAAAAATACGCGCAACGATATCGATTACGCGTATTAGGTGGCGTTGCAGCACCACTTGAACACCCAATAGACTTCGAAGGCAAGATGTACTCATTTCTTTTATTATCTGATACCTTCACCAATTTGCCAGTTCATCTTAACGGAGCTTGGGCACAAGGCTCAGACCGTGCAATGCTACTGATCGAAAACAATAAAATGCCGGATTTAGATCAACTGAAACTCAGTTGGAACAGGCATATTTTACTAGATTTCTTGCCAAAACTTCATTGCAAACTTCTAAAAGAAGCCATCAGATTAAACATTACGGATCCAGTCTCAAAGTTCTGGTTTTTTCCGTCCAAAAGACATCCAAAGTACGCAATTGAATACGGTTTCAAAGTACTGAAATATTTGTTACAAACCGAAACTATCTTGTTTAATGACAGCTCAGAAGACGACGTAAATGACCATGTGAATAATTTCTTCGAGTGTTTGTCAGGACAACGTATTGATGAGCTACGCAGCTTACTAATTGATTATTGGGAAATGGGTAAATACCTCTTTATTTAATATCGTTATTAAAATCAATGTTTTATGAACTTATTCTTTTCTATTTTGTATATAGTGAAATCGGATGATAAGTTGGAATCATTAGTTCGCCTATTTCCTATTTGGCCAGTATATTCGAATCAAATTCGGAGATGCTTTTAAAACCGGCTTCGTTCGGATATTTATTGCCAACTTCCGTTTGCTGGTATCAAACAAGGAGTTCAACAATTTATTTTTGTGGCTATCATCAATTTCTTACCAAACTTAGTGTCCCCTTGAGAAACATCTATTCTTATGTCTTTCAAGATGTTGAATTCCCCAGAGAATCCAATGGCTCTTACATTCGCTTCCTAAATAGCGTACTTAAGTTTGATAATGTCGTTCAAGGTTTAAAGAATAAACGCTGTTTTCCCAATTCAAATACGAGGATTTTAAAGAAGATTACCGATTTATTCGACCCCAACAATTCAGTTTTTCGAACTGTGTTTGGTGGATATGAAAACACAGGTGTCTTTCTTCATTTCAGTCTTTTAGAACACGTATCGCGTTTATCGAGCATTGGATTCAATTCTACAGTAGATGAAATAGCATTTAATAAGTGCGCTGATATGATTGAGGAATTACAAAAAGAGCCGGAACCTCCATTTGACATACGCTATCGAGGCTTTACATTGGTTGATCATCTCTATAAAAATATTACTGTTTTTAACTTGGATAACATCAGAAGAATACCAATCTTTCCAGTTGCTAAAAGTTTGGGCGAACCTTACGACACGCACTATAATCACAATGACGACACTCGTGTATTTGGTTGTTTGAATGAGGTAATCCTTCCTAATTATAGAGATGTCGCGTGGAGTCAAATGTACTTGATTGCAGAAGATATCATACCGCCTCCACAAGTACTCCAAAGACATCCATCATTCGGAAAACCAAATGTTTCCACCGTAGTCAAACATCTCCGTTTCTTGTATAATGTCCTCCGGAATGATGATGAATGGAGGAATAATTGGGCTGATAAATTCAAGCATGACGTTTTTGAGGTTTATAAATGGCTCGATGATGAAACCTCACACGAGGGTATCGACTTGTCCATGTACATTCGTTTAAATGATACTTTATTCCTTAACTTCACCATAGATCAAAATCCGTTTAACCGCGATAATTGGGTTGCAGCTAAAGATTTAATTTTAAACCGTGAGCCGGGTGAAGACCAATATGTGAATCCGATGCTTGCCAGGTTTCCTAATATGCTCAAAAGTGCTGGTGTCAGAGAAATAAGACCACCTAATTATGTAATACGGGTCAAGCAACATGATCAACCAAGTATAAACAGAAATAGATCATTTGAATTTCTGTTAGATCAAAGATCCCCCTTGAACGACTTCACTTTTATTCTGAATGGTGAGAAAATAAAAGCAAGTCGATTTATGCTTGCTTCAAGCTCGAGAGCTCTTCATAGAGAACTCACAGCAAATCCGACCAATCAGATCTTTCTTCAAGATATTCAACCTAACTCTATGCGTATCTTGTTACGTTATCTGTATGGTCAGGATATTGACGACGCAATTAAAAGACGAGATTCGATTAATGTTTGGAATCGTAGGACTGGGTATGAGATATATAATAATTCAAATTTTCAACTTTATAAAGATCTGCTCAAATTGGCAGAATGTTTCCAATTAGATCATTTGAAATCGCTTATGGAATTTAGGCTCTCGCGATTCGTTCAAATGTCTAATGTAAGGGATATGAAAAAATTTGCAGAAAATTTTAAGGCCGAGCAGCTCAAGCAATATTGCCATCATTTTATTCGCGATAATAGTGAATTGTTGTAAAATATATTTATTCTCCTTTTAAGTTTAAAAAAAAAATATTCAGAAACTTCAAATTTTTAGTAGTCAGTTGTATTCAAATCTCAAATATCAATGTAATAACAATATTGTCTTCGTAAGCCTCCAAATTTAAAGCCAATAAACAAGACGATTAACAGAACTTATTTTTTTTAATATTTCCGCATGTAAACCTAATATTTGAAACTTAATGCAGATTGCTATTTTTGACATTACTTGATTATACGTCATTAGTGGAGATTGAGTAAATTAATATTCTTCTACAATAGCGTTATCAATTAACCGTAAATATTAATAACGTAATTGATATTTGTTAAGGTATTACGAGGATATTTTTGATAATGAGACATTATCACGATTTTTGTTTATCGGTTACCGAATAAAACTACTACAGTTAATGTTTTATTATAAGCCTTAAACAAAAGCAAATATTTATTTCTTTTTCTACCCTTTCCTTTTAATATAAACAATTGCTACACAATATATGTTAACTTTTCATAAAAGTTAATACGCCGATGTTAATAGGTCAAAAGCGATCGAACCTGAAAAAAAGTTTTTTTTTTGATCTTTTTTAATATAAAAATAAAAAAAAATAAGGAAACAATTACCTATAACTTAACTAAAGCAAACCAAAGCTGAAAGACCAAAATTAACATTCATTTTAAGGCGTAATTAATAAATTCGTAATTGGTTGGCGTCAAAACAGAAGTAATCGACATTGAATAATTACTGTATTTCGGATTCGGTATAGAAGAAATCGAAGCCGTATTATGTTTAGTACATTTGAAGCGATACATCTAAAATGATCGAAAGAATTCTTAGAGACTTTCAATTGCTCATGGTATTGCATTAATGATGACACCACTAACCATAAGTTTACGATTTCTTATTCCGACGTTTAAATTCAATTTTCGTAAAAATTTTAGTTTAAATAAATCGTATGATTAGTTTAGGAGCGGTTCACGCTGTGTTTTCTCCATCATTTATATAATTCGACAAGAATAAATTTTCTTAATATTTTATATTATGTACATAGAAGAATTTACACGATAAGAAAATTAAGTAATGAGTTATCATAAAATAATTTCTTCATCCCATTTATTTTAAACTTATATTTTAATTTTTATAATCCTTTAAACCAACGTCATCAAATATTATTAATCACTCAAAATCAGGTCAGGAATACGCTGGATATTTGTTCTTTTGAACTTCATCTATGTAGTTCCTCAATTTGGTGTGAATGCAAAAATAATCAACATCATATACAAAATCGTCTATAATTTGCTCCTCTGCAAACTCTTTCAAAAACGTCATAGAAACATCGACATCTTCGTAATAATTCCTAATTAATAACTTTTTCAAATCGATATCTTGCACGTGATCAAGAACGTTTCTCATAAATTGAAAGAAACAAGTTCAAATATTTTAATGAACTCGAGTGATTTGATAATAAGGGACCCAACTCTTCCAGAAGTTTCAATATACAAATTTAATAAATTTTAAGTCGAGATGTACGCCGATGCTAGTGATCAACTCACATATTTGAGGGATATTAGAAGGAATTTGACCTTTGTGCAGTACTTAATAACACTCTCAAAAGCATTTCTTTTCATCGTGGGGAAAATGATAAATTGATGACGAAATTCTCTACATAAGAACCAAATTTTTTGTAATAATAACTAATCTCAAGGATCTAACTTTTAATGAAGTAAGGTTAACAATTAATGTTTGAAAATTTTGATCCTTTAATCCATCACAATGATGGAAGGTTAAGCGGCATCAAATAATGTCACTTGTTTAAATTCACATGATTGAATTTAAAGTTCTAAAGCATTGCTTAATGGCACTCAATATTTGATCGTCCATCTGTATTTTTTAAGGGTTAAAGATGAAAGTTGTTTTTGTGATGTAATAATAGCCATTAGATTCTCGTTATATTCAGAAAATTCAACCCGTTTAATAGAAGGTGCTAATGTTGATAAAGTCAACACGAATCCTTGAATGCTCAAACGACCAGTTCCACTTAGGGAAATGTTAAGCCTCTCAATATTTATGAATTTTGAACTATTGAAAATGATTTCAACCAATTCGGGTAAAGATTTGTTATAAGAAATGCTGCTTTTCATAATTAAGCTACTTAAGGTAACATCACTTTCTACAAATAATTTAATATACGTTATTTTGTTACTATATTCAGTGACGAATCAAATTATTCAGATGCAGTTCTAAATGAGATAATACTAATGTTTCAAAAAAAGAGGTACTTAAATAAAGGGTTTAGATCCTTTAACTTAATAGTAATCCCAAAATCTTTTAAAATTTACTTTATCATCATCATTAGGATTATAATTTGACATAAATGTTGATTGACTAGATATTGAATTCATCTCGTAAATTTTGAATATAATAAGATAATTCAGATAAATCGTTGAATAATTTATATCAAGCCATGGTTTTGAAATAAAGGAAATAATGAGAATTTCTTATGTATATTTCTTTGTTAAACCAAAATCAATCATATTAACAACTTGAAAATCTTCCCGAATTTTCATTGTTTTATAAAAAATAGGTAGTGCTTTTTTCTTAAATTGTGACGAATGTGTGAAATAATTTTATTTAATGTTTTATTTTCAAGTGCTTATTTAACATCTTGATCCTTATTAAAATTAAAATTAAAGCTACACAAATAGGGCAAAATTCACAATTTATGTAACAGTTTGAGCTGGCTCGAATTAATACTTCTAAAGGTATTTCCAATTATGAGAAACATTTTGTGTGTACTAAAAGGCTAACATTAATAATATTATTCTTTGTTTGAAAATATGGTTAATAGTTAATTTTCTCTGTATATTAAATTCAAAAGCTAGTATTATGTTCTAAAATCTGCTATAGTAGATCTTTCTACTTAAGTAGAAAAGCTGATTTTCTGCCTTGTAAGAATCCGCATTTATCTAATTTCATCAGATAATATTCTTATTACTCGCAAGAATATCTTTTAATTTCCAAAAAAAAATCGATTTAAAACTATTTTTAATTATTTGTATTTTATTCTTTATTATTAAATTAAAA